TTTTAGCATACTTGATAGACCATATATTATTCAAAAACAGTGGAAACATTTCAATATCCTAAATACAACTTGATATTCTAAAATTTTAAAGCAATTGATGTTCGTAGGCAAGTGTATCTGTCGAAAAGTAATAAAATTGTTTTCAAAAAAGAGTTCCTAAGTTATCGTCCTACAGAGATTATTTTCAAGTACAAAAAATACATTGATTCAATTGTTTAAACGCAAAGGGGGTGTGATGGATTAAAAATAAGACTTAATGTTAATGATTAATTAAAAAGAATAATAATGCAACATATGAGAGAAATCGAATGAGATGAGCCTAAGGCTTATAATTTCACCTATTACACTTCTTTATGTTCTAATTGTTTTAACCCTAGTATTGGCATCTGAATATTTGCCAACCACTCATACTAGTTCTATTAACAATCAATGATCATGCAATGTAAATATTTTTTTCGTTGAGCAATCACCCCAATAATAATGCAAAGCAATTGGTAGAGAAAGCATAAAGATCCAATAAGTTTGTTAATTAAATAACGGTTGAAATAGAGGAATTAAGTGTGATTAACCTAACCCTTTGTCTCGTTTTATCTTATAGTTCCATTAATTACACATGGTATGATCGCCTACGATGCAACTAATTATGGGATGCTAAAGGTGATCAATTCTTAACATGCACAATATGATTCAATAGGATAAAAGCCAAACAATAAAGGAAAACCAATACTGATATCAAAAGTAAAAATACACAAAGTATGCAATAGGATCCCTCGTAACCCTAACTATGAATTTAGTTACTCATAATGAAATACACAACGAAAAACATAATGAATCAATCCATAAAACACAAAGGATATTTCAAACAAGAGAAACCTAAAAGAGAAAAAAATAAAAAGAGTTCTTGTTCTTCAAGGGGGTGCTCAATCACTCGCTCTAACTTCAAAGGGTTCATCGTCTTTGCCAATGATCTCCAATAACTCTCAACGATAAAGTGTACAGAACTAAGAAAGGAAAGACAGTGTGTCGAATGAAGTAGAAAAAAGTGTCCCAAGTGTAAAGCATAAGGCTTCTATATATAGGCTGTGTCTTGAGTTTCTGGTCTGTTGAGCTCTATCTTTTTTAATTGGTTTATCCACAATCAGAATCTTAACTTCAGAATCTCAACTGAAAACCACTCTAAATCCTTATATCTAAATCTTTATCTAAGTTTAAATTTTAAATTTTAAATTCAAACTGATTCACATAGCATGACCAAGGACTAAAATTATCTAACTTTTATCTAGAATATCTCTATACTATAATGATAATAACTTCCAGCTAAACTGTAATAATTAATAGCATAATTAGTGTAAATATATACAAAATAGGGTTTTAAGTATATAAATATAAGTCATAAAATATATCAAAATATGATCTTATCAATTGACATTACATATGTCAATCAATTATTAGATCAAATTGGGTACAATTGAATATCCTAAAATAACACCATAACAGAATAATACAAAAAAGGTCCAAATACAATTATATTGAACCACAATGAATAATGAAAAAAATTTATGCATTTTTTCCTTAAGAATATATATTTCACTTTCTTTTGAAAAAATCACTAAGAATCTATTGTACTTAATATGTCCTACAAATATCTATAGTACATATATATACACCATTCCTTTTGAAGTTGTTGAATTCTATTCGCAGGAAAGTTTAGGATGCCTAGACACTTAACTTGAACAAATACAAATGATTAAATGATTTTGGATATAGACTCCTTATGTTAACTAAGATCGTAGTTTGTCTATGGGGCAAAGCATCTCCAATGAAAAGACATACTTAATATTCATTGTCATCGTTATTTGTTTGCTTAAAACACTTTATGGAAGAAAAAAAATTAACTTATATAGTAAGCATATCAACCATATCAATCATGTACATACAATATTTTTTATATACTCTGATCACATTCTTTCTACATTCTTATCATTCTTTTGCATTTTATCTCAATTAATCATTGGTTAGTTACATCAATACGGATACAGCGTGTGCTAACTTGTCCCTTTTTAGCAGAAGTATAGTTAGGAGTATGCATCAGAAAATGAGTGTGAAGCCTGCGATGTTTCCATTCTCATTAAGAAATGTGCACTAATTATGGATAACATTCACCACCCTCATTTCTCCAAGATTCCCAATTGACTTCATTTTTCATACTCCCAATATATTTCTGTAACTATTTACACGTATTCTGATTGTTCAAATACCAAGTTCTTCTTATATATTACAATGTGGAGTACTTTGAGAGAGGAGAAAATAGAGAAATATAGAATGAGATTGAAGGATTGAGCTCTAAGAAATTTACTTGGGATTGGAGGAAAGAAAATTTGGTCTTAGATTCAGAAGAAATTTGGAGCTTGAGAGGGATTTCTTTGGGTAAAGGAAAAGAGATATAAGATGAAGTGTGGTAAGTAGTTCATTGACTTACCATGCAAGTTTTGGAATAGACATTACTTAAATACCTTCAAAACTCGCGAATTCTCATTTGAGCGAGAAAACCAGGCAAAAATTATTACTCTTTTGCTGATACTTTTTGAAAAAACTTCCATTTTGAAAACAAAAAAATAAAAATAAAAATTAGGGTGTTACATTCAAATAATTCTTAAACCCTTGAATACCACATAAATCATGTTTTTCTATCTCTAGGTATCATTTAACTCACAGCAGTGCATTCATAGGCTTGACTCTTTTTTTTTTTTTTAATTTGTAAAAGTCTCCTCTAATCCTTAATTGATGATAAAGAAATTTAAGATAAATAAATCCAAATACAATGCTTACTATCAAATGAAAACAAGATATAAATTCATTTACATTTACATAATATCAAACACTTGGCCTTCATAAATCTTTCAAGTTCTTGAAGCTTTAATCGCGTTGCTCCCATGCTTTAAGTTCTAGCCTTTTTCTTGTTAAATATTTTGGATCACCCTACTGTCCCTTACTAACACGTTTTTATAGGTTTTGTATTAATAATAGACTGTCAAGGTCAGTACACAAGCCCAACCTAAACATCACAGATTCGTGTATCCACGTTGTAGCGTGTCACGTTGGAGTGTGACTCAAGTGTCAGAGCCTACATTCATAATATGAAAACAAAAATTTACTAATATATTGTGAAAATTAGTTTTGAGAATTAAAAATTGATTTTTTGAGTAAAGAAATAAATTTGAAAGTAATAAATCATTTTAGGTTCAAAACCAGTTTCAAAACCAAAATTTGAAAATTTTAGCTTCAAAATTGGTTATGAAGCCAAACCAGAAAACCTGCTTATAAATTGATTTTAAAAGGGTTCTATAATGCGTTGCATGAATCAATGCCTATTAAATTTTTCTTTCTTAATTTTCACACTCATTTCAATATACAATTTGTAGAAATTTAAGCATATATTTTACGTATGATTTTTCTAATATAAGAGAACGTTATTCACATAGTTTTTTTTATTAAAAATAATAACATTAATAGAATATATACTTTTTCAATAAAAAATTATTATCTACATTTTTCTCATCAAGAACATTATATATGTTAAAAAATTATTTTAATTATATTTAATATATATATATATATAAATTAATTTTATTTAATTTTGAAACAAATAAATCTTGAATCATTGAGATATGAAGAAATTACTCACATTTTTATTTGAAAATTTTTAAAAGTAAAATATCCTTTCTTTATATATAAGTTTATATTATTATTTAAATTTATTTCAATAAAGATGAATGTTCAGAAAAACTTTTCCTGTATCGCCTTCAATTTTTAGAATTTAACCAAAAAAGAAGAAGAAGAAATTTTAATCTAAATTTTCAAAATCTATTATAAATATATTTAAAATTTTATTTCATCTTCTAAGTAACTTAAATTAGTAATAAGGTTATTTAAAATTAGTTGTTGGTAATTGGAAATAAACTTTCAGTATGATCACTCATAGTTTTCTATTACTGTTAACAGATTTATTTATATCAAAATGGCTTAAGGTGTAATACATTTTATTTACAAATATAAGAAAATTGAATTTTTGAAAATTAGAGGGTAATTCATTATAATTGAAACATTCCTACTGGCTACTACGAGGAGAATAGTGTAATGTATCCCGATTATCACTGTGATGAGTTAATGGATTTAGAGATATTATATTCATTTCATAAAATCAGGGTTATATTATTTATTTAACAAAACTTTATAATAATATCTTTTTTCATCACGTCAACTATTTAATCATCTCTATCTCTCCTTTTCTTTCTATTTTTTTCTAATTTTGTAAAAAAAAGGTTAAAATAAATTTGTTCTAAAAATAATCATATCGCTCTCTCTTTTCTTTCTATTACATACAAATTTGTTCTATGAAGTAAATGTTTTATTTTTTATAAATATTTACTACTTTGTATATTTAAATTTAGTCGGTAAAGATTAACGTTACTTTTCATTTTTATTTTTTTTATCGCACTGTTTATCTCATATTACATTCTTATTTTATAAATTGATTTTTTAATGTATCTCGTAGAACACATAATAAGAAAATAATAAACAATGAAATTATTTTTAAAAATTTAATATTTAATATTATTAATATATTTAACTTTTTATGTTATATAATTGTAAATGAAAAGTTATTATATATATATACATGTTAGACTAAGAATTATTTTGGGTATACTTTTAAAACAAGTTATGTTATTATTATTATTATTATTAAGTTCTTTTAATTAACTTTATTAAAATTTAAGAAAAAAATTATTTATTTTTATATAAAATCTTGTGTAAAGAAATCTTCGTATTAAGAAAAAGGGGGACAGGACATTTAATCCTCACAGAAAAGCGTTAAGTTGTTAAATCAAGGATCCAAATTACAACCACAAAAGATACACACAACCATTAATCTACAATAGCAAATTAACGGTATATACAAGATCCTCACATAAAACTTGTGAAATTGATTATCTGAATATTCAGAGTCCCTGCCTCGCTCTGCCATTTTTGCTAAAAGATAATCTTCCACTGGAAAACGACCTCTTCATTGCAATTGGACTCAGCACACAATGCAATACTCTGTTTTTGTAGCTACTCTCTCCTCGAGATCTCTTGGAAGGACCAACATGAGTATCAGAGCACCCTTCCACATGGGAATATTCCTCTGCATTCATATGCAACACATGAGCAACAGAAACAGCACTTTGAAGCGAATGGTCCAAAGACACTGACCTTCCAATGGACTCACTCACCTCTTCATCTCTAATCTCAATCACTCTGTGCCTCCCTTGTAACCCACTCAAATCACTAAATGCACGCAATGCAGGCTTTGGATAAGCTCTATCACGATGCACGCTCTCTTCTTCCTCCACCACAGACTCATTGCCCCTTCCAACACCCAAGTTTTCACCCTCATTCCTCGCCGGTACCTCAACCTCTAACGCTGCAACCAAAGCATTCAAATTGAATATGCTGGCGCGACACAAAGGGCAACTAGAGTGAGACTTGAGCCACGTGTCAATGCAAGGAAGATGAAAAGCGTGCCTACATTTTGGCAAGAGCCTAACGCTTTCATTTTCTTGAAACCCACTTAGACAAATTGAACAATCCGTGACTCCACCAAAACCACCTCCTTTATTGTACTTGAAAACCGCAATGGACTCGATTTGGGCCTCGTCTAGGCCCGTTGTTGAAACATGCCAGGGTTCATGGAGTGAGGGGTTCTGGTTGTTGTTTTGTATGTCATCATTTGAGTCTCTGCGTGTCGATTCTCTGGCGCCACAGTACTTGGATATTAGAGTGTAGTAACTCACTAGAAGAAAAGCAGTGGCCAAGATCCCAATGATTGCAATAACAAGAGGTGAGAAATTTGGGCTTGAATCATCATCAGGGTATTCAAAGGGTGGAGGAGGAGGATACACTATGTAACACCATTGTGGACAGTACAAGCTACAAAATCCCTGAGAACAGTCTTTGCTGTTCATATAAGGAATCCAAGTTCTTGGATTGCCAATAGCAGCCATCAACAACACACTATAAAATCATCGTTTTCTGCCTTCCCTGCAAGTTAATTATTTTTCACTTTGACACCAGAGAAACAAGCTACTAATACAAATAGAGAATAGACCATAAAATTTATAAAAAAGAAAAAATCTTCCGCGGTAAGCAAGCATGTAGGAGACTTTTGGTAGGAAAATTCATGGGTGAAAAAATTTAATGTGAAAATAATGAAAAATAAAGGGGAATGGTGTTAACACATTATCTGTGCAAGAGGAAGAAGAAAGAGAGAGAGAGAGAGACTTGGGAGAACGCAAGTTAATTTGAAGACAAAAGAAAAGCAGGGGAAAGGGGCCGAAGGCTTAGATGGAAAGCAAGGCAAAAACAAGGAAAATTGGAGCTCTGATGTGAATACTTTAACTTTTCTTTTGCTTACTTCTTTTTCTTTTGGCTTTGTCTATTCTCTAGCTTATCTTTCTAGCTTGAAATTGTTTGTTGACCGAGGAGGTTGTGCACTGGGGTTGATGTTGGTTGGGAATTTATTAAAATGATCAATTATTTTTCTCTTTAATTTTTAATTTCTGGTCCAGTACTAGCATCCAATTGAATGAGGCTTAAATCATTTGAGAATTGTGAAGTAAAAATCCTTATAGATCAAGAACTTCTCTTCATTAATGCCTACAGCTATGGGGGGAGCTAATTTGGCCGTCAAGTTGGTTGTACCTGACACACAAGTGGGGTTATGGTAGAAACTTCACGACTTTTTGCTTTCAATATTGTATCACTTAGGCTAGTACACTTCAACCAACATATATTTACGTTATAATCAGAAAGATGTTAAAAACTTGTGCCATGTGGTGAATACTCGAATTTAAACAGGTCACTTTGTTCTCTATAGAAGATTTCAAAGAAAATAGAAGCGAATCTATTTTGGGATCAGTGGCACTTTAGCCATTTAGCAAGATATGCTGCTCCACTGTCTCTTCTCCATGCATCATATCTCCTATGGGAAACTTTAGAATATGACTCTCCTATTTCACTTTGCATATATTCTCTCCCTTGATCCCAACAGTTAGGACTAATTACCCTCTTCGTAAAGAAAATTTCCAATATTAAACTAACTCCTTGAAGGGAAGCCTCCTTTAATAACTACAAATGAAACCTTAAATTACACGACAACTAGGACCTTTACTCATTTGGTAACCTAATTGTATCGCTAGTCCATTGACATTATGATATATTCATGATGGAATAAAGGTGAAGTGAAAAAAACAGGGTATGTGTGTTTTAAAGCCTGCAGTCAATTATAGTTGTCCGATCTGCACTTCATTTGCTGGTCTGTCCATGTTGTGGTCACTGTGCAGTGGAATGCGACCTTATCTTGTTATTTCTGAGTCTTTAATGAATGCACTACAATTTTTTAGCTCTTTATTATTGAGGACACATCACACCTTATGTATGTAGTTCCAGATCAATAGATATTCTCCTAACACATTGCGTAATGATTTTCTTTGATAAATGAAGAAGCATAACTTCTGATAACTAGCAGAGTATTTCATAAGAATTAATTGAAACTAAATGAATATATAGGTTTGACATCATTTTGATTTAATTAAGTAGAAACGTTGTTTCTTCAAATGGAAGTTCCGACTACCTGCGGGAAAACTGCCCGACTGGAAACAAAGACTTTTTGAAAAAGAAAAAAGTTTTTATTAAAATAATACAAAAATAAAACTATTTATCTATTAGGAGTAATTTTTGTAAAATCAGCTTAGAAGTATTGTCTTTCATAGAAATCATACTAATTTTTAAAAATAAAATAATATCATTCATTGCACGAATAATACACACTCCATACTTAACATGGGTATCGTAAAAATATATTAAAATCCATAATACAAATACATTATTGTATATTTTAATAAACATTAGGTTTTTTTTAATCAGTACATTAATCGCACTTTCATATGATTTTTGATCGAGCTAAGACTGACATTATTAACATTAAAGATGTGCCGTCCTAGTGCTAGGACTCCAAATATCGTTCAACGAACTTAGCAACACAATCATAAGCACAAAAGCCAAGAAATTCTTGATTTAATTCCTTTTTAATTTTTAATAAATTTGATAGTTTTGGTTTGGATGCCACCAACTGAAAGGAGGACCCTCAAATCTCAATTCCATGTCCTTTCAGTATTCCTTCCTTTTCTCCGTGAATATATCATATCATCCTTAGTGTGATGTTAAAAACTACATTTGACAGATAAAATAATTTTTTATAAATAATTTAAAAATATAAATTGATCAGAGTAGGTCTCAATCATTAAAGTGAACTCTTTTACCTAGCCGTTGAAAATGAAATAATTAATATATTTGCATACTAATCCTAAAAATATTAATTAGGCTGAATTCCTTATCATGCAGATTATAATAAGTTCAGCATTAATGTTTCAGCACAGAAATAATCAAGGTCAAGTTATCTGCACTAGATTCCATAAAAAAAAGAAATTATATGCACTAGCTTTATTTCAGGGAAGAATTAAGTTCACAATCAATCAACTTTTTTCCGGTAATTTTGCTGTCAAGAATAGTAAATAAGTGTGAAAATTCTTGTATTAATAGTGTGTAAACACGTAAAAGTATGCACTCACGTTCCCATATAAATTCCACACCTTCACGACGACGGCTATCATTTGCACTTGGCAAAACATTGATTATGCAAGAAAACCCTCAGATTGCATAAGGTGTTGGTAAAGCCCACAACAAAACATCATTTCAAGGTGACACCATTCCGAGGTGTTACCTCCTCGCTTTATTGGCATCACACCAAGAGAAAATACCTCAATCTCATTTGAATATTAGGGTAGGGGTTATTTAATATAAAGTAAGGAAATTATTTTTATATTTTTAATAAATATATATTTTCATAAAAATGTATAATTTAGATTAATATATATAATTTAAAATTAATTCTATTTAATTTAAAACTAAACGTGAAATATCGTAATTTACTTCCTTGTTTCATAAGAAATTAACCAATATTTTAACCCTAGACCATTGTGAAACCGTAAATGGTCTGGATGCAGCATTAGCTTCCACAGGGGTACTCTGATTCCTTACCTTGATATTCATCGACGCATTCGTCCTTTTGACCAAGCAAAATGTAACCAAAATATAAAATAAGTACGTAATTCCATCTGCTAAAGACAGGTTCAGTATCGACGTGCTCAAGACAGAGTTCGACCTATATATGTTTCTAAGATAAGATTAATTGAACAGTAGAGTACCAATATAGGCGAGATTTCAGGGTTTTTTTTTTTTATTTGTATCGTGCTCATAAAAATGAGATTTAACAACAGTAATATTAAAGCATTTATGCAAATAAATGCCATCAAAATATTGAAATATTTCACGTTAAAACGCTTTCTTTGTGAAGCGTTATAATAAATAATAGTATTTACAGCGTTTGATAATTTTAAATGCTTTAAAAAAATTATAAGATTTATTACAATGTTTCAGTTGAGCAAATGATAAGTATAATAAATTTTATGTTTTACAGCGTTTGTGTTTAAACGCTATGATAAATGTTATTTTTTATAACGCTTCTACGTTTAAACGTTGTAATAAATGTTATCTACGGTGTTTCTGTATTCAAACGTTGCAAGAGTACTGGACATTTATAATTTTAACACACTTAATAGAAGATAAATCATGGAGGAAGAGTTTTTTTTTACTGACTATATTCATCAACTCACACACTTACTACAACATACAATACTTGGCTTTTTATAGGCAAATTTTTTTAAATAAAATAACATTTCTATTCTTAATTGCTAAGATATCTTCCTGCAAAGTTATTGGCCTTGATTGGTGCCATAGATAGCCTTTTCTTTTGACCACCAATTAATTTGTTGCAGATAATAATAGGTGGTGCCCACAATTCAACTTTAACCTCCAATTTTTTTCTTAATATGCAACATTGCAGGTGTAAGAAATTTTGATCAATTTAGTGCGGCTAGTAGCCACCCACAATTTTACAGCTTGATTTAAAATTTTCTGACATTGCCTCCCTTAAATCAAGTTGATATCATTCCAAGCATTTTCTTTAATTTATAAAATAACTCAACCTTCAACGGCTTCGTAAAAATATCTGTAATTTGATCTTCAGTAAAACAATACTCAATCACCACTTCTTTCTCAACTATCAATTCTCAAATTTTGTAAAATCGAATGTCTATGTGCTTGTATCGTCCATGAAATACTAGATTTTTACACAACGCAATTACTGACTTGTTGTCACAAAATATCACTGTAGGAGTATTTTGCTTCTGATGCATCATTTCAAGCATTCTTCTTAACCACACTGTCTGGGTTGCACAACTAGCTGCTGCCATGTATTTTGTTTCAGCTGTTGAAAAGGAAACAATAGGTTGTTTCTTTGAGGACTACGAAACTGCTCCTATTCCTAGATGAAATGTATACCCTAACGTGCTTTTTCTTGTTTCAACATCTCCTGCCCAATCACTATCTGTGTATCCAACCAGCTTTACATTAGAATTATTAGCATAAAAAATTCCTTCAGTCAAAGTACCTTTGATATATCTAAGGATTCTCTTTACTCTCTATAAATGACATGCACGTGGCTCCTCCATGAATCTGCTAAGCAATTCTACTCCAAACACAATATCTGGTCTAGCAGCAGTCAGATATTTGAGACTTCCAATTAAGCTCTCGTAGTATGTTGAATCAATTCTTCTTTCATCACTATCCTTTTTCAACTTCAATTTCTCTTCAGTAGGTGTTGAGATTGACTTTGAGTTCTCTGATAGTCATATTTTAGTACATCTTTCTCTCCATGTTTTTGGTTTAATTGTGCTTCATTAGTGCATTATTTTGATGTGTTAGTTTAGATTTGTATTAGTAAGTAATTTAGGATTTAAATATAAATCTTTCTTAATTCCTGCCATAATTTCTTATTTTGACACAGTTTCTTGCAAAGACCATATCTGGAGTTACACTACTCGAA